AGTTGGAGAGAGAGGAGAGAGAGTTGCAGCAGCTGGTGGAGCAGCAGCAGCAGCAGCAGCAGCAGCAGCAGCAGCAGCAGCAGCAGCAGCAGCAGCAGCAGCAGCAGCAGCAGCAGCAGCAGCAGCAGCAGCAGCAGCAGCAGCAGCAGCAGCAGCAGCAGCAGCAGCAGCAGCAGCAGCAGCAGCAGCAGCAGCAGCAGCAGCAACAGCAGCAGCAGCAGCAGCAGCCGGAGCAGCCGTCGCAGGAGCAGCGGCCGCCACCTCCTCCTCTTGTCTCTGGTCTTCGGGCCTTCGGTCTCCCCTCTCGCTCTCCTTCCTCCTCCCCCTCTCCTCCCGTCTCTGGTCCTCCGCTTCCTCCTCCTGACCCTTCGCCTCTTGTTTACGGCCCCACGTTTCCTCCTCCTGACTCCTCCCCTGCTGTCTTCCCTCGTTCTCCCCCTCAGTTGTCTGCGACTCCTTCCCACACTTGGACCTCCCGTCGCTCTCCTCGTGCTCGTCCTTCGTCCCCTGTTGCTCTCACTGACCTCCGTACTGCCCTGTTCCGTTCTCGTCCGCCCAGTTCTCCTCCTTCTGTACTTCCTTCTCCTCCTGAGTCTGCCCTCACTGCTTCTCTCTCTACTCCCGTCACTGACTACTACCGTACCTACCGTCCTGTCCTCTCTCGAGTTCTCGCCTCTCTTGTTACCCACCCACGTGCCTCTCTGTCCTCTGTCTCCGCTCTTACTGCCGCAGTCACTGAGTTTGCCTCTACTCACGGCCTTGACTACGCCACCGCTCTTGTGGCTGCTCCTCCTACCAGTCCTCTGGCCGTCGGGGGTGAGTTTGCCCTTGGCTGTGACGCCCTAGAGGACAGGCAGTTTGAGCTAGAGTTCCTGGCCGCCGCTTCCCCTCATCTCTGTGCCATGCTCCTCTCCCCTGAGGGAGACCCCGACGCCCTTGACATACCGACTCCTCGCACTTACGCTGAGGCAGTGTCAGGGCCTTGGGCCTCTCAGTGGAGAGCTGCCATGGACGCAAAGATGGCCTCCTACAGATCCACAGGCACCTACGTCGATGAGGTTCCCCCCCCTGGGGCGAACGTAGTCGATGGCATGTGGATCTACAGGGTGAAGCGGCCACCAGGATCTCCTCCCGTCTTCAAGGCGCGCTACGTGGCTAGAGGTTTCAGTCAGCGCGAGGGAGTTGACTTCTTTCAGACCTTCGCGCCTACCCCGAAGATGACCACTCTTCGGGTGTTACTGCACGTAGCAGCACAGAGAGACTACGAGTTACACTCTCTAGACTTCTCCACTGCTTTCCTTCAGGGTAGCCTTCACGAGGAGGTCTGGCTTCGTCGTCCCTCTGCCTTCACTGGCTCTTTCCCTCCTGGGACCCAGTGGAGGCTGAGGCGACCGGTTTACGGTCTTCGTCAGGCTCCTCGTGAGTGGCACGACACCCTTCGTTCTACCCTGTCTGACCTTGGTTTCCAGCCGTCTTCTGCTGACCCTTCACTGTTCGTTCGTCGAGGTACCACACCGTTCTTTGTTCTTGTCTACGTCGACGACCTAGTGTTCGCTACTGCTGACAGGGTTGCCTTGGCAGACGTGAAGTCCGAACTGCTGAAGAGACACACTTGCACTGACCTTGGTGAGCTGCGCCACTACCTTGGCTTGCAGATCACCAGGGACAGAGCTGCTCGCACCATCACACTCTCTCAGTCACACGTGGTGCAGCAGGTCCTTCAGCGGTTCGGGCTTCAGCACTCCACAGTACAGCGCACACCTCTTGCTGTTGACCACAGACTTACTGGTCCTTTTCTTGACGAGCCGTTCGAGCCTAGTGGTCCCTACGCAGAGCTGGTGGGTTGCCTCATGTACCTGATGACTTGTACTCGCCCGGACCTCGCCTTCCCTCTCAGCATCCTTGCGCGCTTTGTTGCGCCAGGGAGACACCGTCCTATTCACTGGACAGCAGCTGTGAGGGTGGCGAAGTACCTAGCGACGACATCAGGCGTGGGGCTAGTTCTTGGAGGGCAGCAGTCTGTCGCACTTACTGGTCACTGTGACTCTTCTTACGCTGACGACGCTGAGACTCACAGGTCTACTCAGGGTTACTGTTTCAGCCTGGGTTCTGGAGCTGTTTCTTGGAGGTCCACGCGCTCCTCCTCGGTCTCGACCTCCACCGCTGAGGCTGAGATCTACGCTGGTGCCATGGCGGCACAGGAGCTGCGTTGGTTGACCACCTTGTTCACTGACCTTGGTGAGAGGCCGAGCTCTGCACCGACCTTGTTCTCTGACAACAAGGCATCGATTCTCCTTTGTCGTGAGCCACGACTAGAGAGCAGAGTGAAGCACATCAACGTCAGGTACTTCCTTCTACGAGAGTTACAGAGGCATGGACAGGCTGGTTTCGAGTTTGTGGAGTCCGAGGCCAACACTGCAGACATCTTCACCAAGGCACTTCCGCCTTGTGACCACCAGAGGTGTTGTGTGCAGTTAGGCCTTGTTGACACTGGTTCTCGTCTTGTGTAGACTTGAGTTGACTGTTTGTTTTGCTTGTACACTTGCTGTGTATCTTTGTGAGTTCTTGGACTGGCCTTGTGGCCCCTGGTGTTTGTGCTCAGAGTGTGTGGTGACGTTGTGATCCACCCTGAGCTTTGTTTCTTTTGGACTGGTCTTATGACCGTACTCTGTAGGTCTTTGTTCGACACCCCTCACTTAGGCTATGGGGGTGTGTCAAATGTGTAGCCTGTAGTGAGGCTTGTCTTAGGGGGTACATCTGTTAGGGTTTCTATATGTACCCCAACCACATCAATGAAACACAACATTCTCTCATTCTAACAGTCAGCCGCTACGAATGAACTGTAAGCTCGCCAAGCATGACACCCCCTTAGAGGAACAACTTGCTGTTGTCTATAAACGGGGAGCCATTACACCAATATATTGTGAGATGCAAGCAGAGCGACGCGGGACGGTGGAGCTGAAAATGTCCAGGTACACCCAGCAGAGGGGATTGGCGGGGGGTGGCGGCGTCGGTGAAATGTAAGGAGGGGTAGAGGGTAAAATTCGAAGGGCTCTCCTTTCTGAGCTTTGCAATGGCTGACTTGCGGAGGGGGAGGGGGGGGGGGGGGGGGGGGGGGGGGTTGTGGGGGGAGTGGGGTGGGGGGCAGAGGAGATAAGATGGTCAAGGGAGCCGAGAACCGGGAGGAGGGGCAGAGGATTGACAAGCTGGCTCTCACTGCTTATTGCGTCCAACGGCTGTCAGAACGTGGGGGAGTGGGGATTGGTGGGAAAGGGGGGAAAAGAAGGGAGAGAGGGAGGTGGGAAAGAGGCAAGGGGATCGTCTTTGGGGGGGCTTCTACTAGGTATCATGGTAAGGATAGGGGGAGTTGTCGGTGGAGCAGGGAGAGAGGATAGGGAAGTGGAGAGAACGGGGAAGTTGTTTGGGATATCATGCACTAGCGCAGATGCCAAAAGCACGAAAAGGTCAACTACAACATTCCAGAGTCACCTGCAATGCACCAGGTGTCATTTGCCACTAGGCGACTGACGTCCCAGCGGGCCGAGGCTTCCACCAGGAAAAGCCGCCCTGCCACCTCCCTTGCCCCCTGTGAGTACGGCAGCAGCGGCACTCCCTGCATTGGCGGGACCAATTATAGGAGCTGACATGGGATGTATCGCAGGGATGGGGGATGGGGAGATGAAACAGGAGAAGTCTGTTTGTCAAGGGGAAGGGCATGAGGGAGACAATGATGCGTGGAGAGGAGAGGGGGGGATAGATTTGAAGGCCACTAGTGTTGGTGTTTGAGGATAAATAATTACAATGGTAGGGTTCCTTATTACCAGGGGCGAGCACATGGGCGTTGTTGATGCCAGAAGCGATGCGGCGTGACTGGCAAAATGATAATGTTGGACCTTTTTGCATCCCATAGGTGTGTCGTGGACGTTTACCGAGGATAGTTGATAATGTCACCTGTAACATTAGCACAAACAGAAATTGTTGGTCAAGTTGATGAGATAGGGTGTGATAAGTCGCAAACATGCAACTAGTCTCACCTAGAAGACTGCGCTTTGCAGCACCATGCATCGATGACCGACCGCGACCCCTCCCACTACGTCGCACAAGTGTAGCGGGCTGCTGTACAGATGGGTGGCCCCCAAAATCAAATATGTCAGCGGACTGCTGTTCCGTTCCTTGGCTCCTAGATGCATCTTCAAGAATATCGTCGTCGACACCATCCCCTAACGACCGTTGCCAGTCCGCCATGATCCGATCAACCCACGACCAATCCATCGGTCCTAGTGTTCGATCCTTGTTGCCTCGACGCACCCGCGTCACTTGCCGTACCCGTGTGTGATAGGAAGTGACCAATCTATCCATCGAGTTATTCCAGTGCAAGACAACGAGAGCCACCCGTGGCACAAGACTATCCTGGAACCGAATACTCTTAGGGGCGTATTTTAGGATTAGAGAATGGAATGACTCATTGATCGAGCTGTTGGATCCGTGAACAAAGGATTTCACCTTGAACCAAGCCCGCACCGCCTTGTGCGTTTCTGACCCAGGCTCGTAAAGAGCACATTCCCTCCCCCAATTCTCTGTAACACACCTTGGCGGGACACCACCAGACTTTCCACACCCAGAATGGTCACCCGCCCAATGGTTTGGGGCCGTCCCAATCTCCGTCGCCACATCATCAGGAGTCATAGGGGTGCCCGCTTCCTTCATCCTCCCGGCGTGCATCATCACATGGAAAAAATGCGATCCAAAGCGCTGCGCCACTGTACTCTCTTCATCGCCTGCGTGTATCTCATCGTCCCCCCGTTTTCGTTTCCGGCGCCCAACCCACCGAGGCAAAGCCTGTCCGATTCCGCTTCCTGCTGCATCACCATCGTGCACTGCATCCTCGTTGTCGCTTGCAGGGTTAGTCACGGGTGGGTCCGAACCACCCATGCCATCGTCTCCTGGTGAACGACAATATTGGAGGGGAACTTGAATGAGTAACCAATCCATATGAGTAGTTAAAATTCCAATTTTGTGAGCATTCTTACCAGTGCAATCGTCAGCGTTGGCCCAAGGAGTCGTCCCACCGATTGACCATGAGACATCGCCTGCGCATGTGCATGCACGATGAATGCACTTGCCACAGAGGAGGGTCGCGCGCCGTGCACTGGATACAAATCGTAACTCCAAAGCTCCACATCCGGCCACTGCACCTCAACTTGTGCGTTGCCCATTTCCGCTTTGTCAACCGCTTCATCGATTGTAGTGGTCTGTCTATCTCCTGTTGGACCAGATCGCACCTCAGCATAAGTCACAGGGACCTCTACAACCCCCTGTTCCCCCCCCACTCGTCGCACCTTTCTCAGCTCCGGAAAATTCCACTTTGCTGCATCTGGTGTCATGTGCACGTAGGCAAAGGTTCCCATGGCTGTGCAGAACGATTGCACAAGAGCCGATTTGAGTGATGCCTTCGCCTCTTTCTCCAAACCCCGTTTTCGCAACCATTGCCGCAGCCCTTCCACCGTAGCCAACCACAGCTCCTCAATACAACTTGCCTTGTCCACGGCCACCGGCACCCGCACGGCATCCTGAAGCTCTTTGCAGAAGAGCTTGTAGAGCGTTTTCTTCACGTGCCACCAATCCACCTGATGGTTCAGTTTCCGCTCTGTTGCAGCACCTCTGAATGTCATCCCTTGGTCTAAAATGATTCCTTCCACATCAAATCCCAACAGCGCCAGCTCATCAACTCCTTTGTCGAACGCAACCCGCTCCAATCGCACAGATGATGTATCATCAACCCCTTTTCTTGTTGTCACACAGTACAATATCTTCCGCGTAACATCATCCATGAATGACACGGTACACCACTCGCCCTCTCGGACATGTGACCATCGACCATCTACCGTTACCCATTCCCCAGGTATGTCTCGTTTGCTCATCTCTTCTCACACCGCTGCCATCGATTTCTCCGCCTCCCTAAGAATCGTGTTCCACAACCCATTATCATCCCCCAGATACTTATAGAAAGTGCCTTTTCCGGGACATGGGATGCCAAAATTGCGGCTGAACTCCCACATCTGTTGGTACCCCATTCCGGCCAGCACAAATGCTCCTACAAATTTTGAATGGAGTATAGGCACACGTGCCCCGACACCAGCTCTTCTTTTCTCTACGGTTCGATTGGTGCATGACCAAAATTCCACACCGTGGGAGCACGCATCACATCTCCAAAACATGCCCACAGATGCCCATGAAAATTTCCAGGACCTCAAAGACATGGCTCCGCCGCATGTCTATTCATGCGAGCATACCAACCGGCATCCCTTGAAGAATCCAACAAGTGTACGCGGTTCGATAAGACATACCCGTTGTTCAGAAATCTCATCGACATTTGGTGCGGTGGGCCAGCGCCTGGGGACTGATGCACGCGCGATCGAGCGCGGTTGCCTGCGACGCGGGATGGGGTGGTGCACATATCATCATGTGATGGGATGATTTGCACGGTCATGTGTTGACCACATATTCAAACAAGCTAGATGCTTACAGGTCCTCTGGCGTGCCATCTGTCGCCGTCGGTGTCAGTGATGGTTGCGGTACGTTGTCGAGGTTGGAGTGTATGCACTATCACAAGCGCGAACTTCAGCGCTGTCTTGCGCAATTGCATTAGGTGGATCCGTCCCAATTTCCACCACATCACGGTCCCCTGACTCAACGCCAGCCGTCACCCCAAGACCTTCTGCATTCCATCGAGGGTAATGGGATAAGGTACAATTTATGGAGTGGAAATAGAAGGACAGAGAGCGCACGGTGCCACAACATCTTTCTATTGGTTAGTATTTCAAAGCAGAGAAAGTTTATTACCTCCCTGCCTTGCCACGCTTGGCTCCTCCCCAAGACAGGCCCTCCACAGGCCTAGGTCTCCCGCGATGATCTAGCCGCATAATCGGAAATGAAAACTTGACTCCGGGCAGCACTACGTTCGATCGTCCCAGCAGATCTGTAACCTTTTCGTAGCCTCCTTGAACGCGCCCTTTGAAAGTACGACCGTACTCCTGACGGTGCAACTCGACCATGGCGCCCATTTCCGAGCGCTCTGACTCAGGATCTGGGTGGAATTGGGTTGACAAAAGAAGGAGCACACACTACTCGTATTTGCCAGATTGAGCTCCACATCTAATAAGTCGTGTCCCATTACAATTTTCCAACGTACTTGCGGCTAGGCCTGCTGTGATGAGTCGCTGCGTCGCATTTGGTGCTGCCTCTGCCAAGAAATGAATAACGTCGTCGGGTGTTGCCATAGTCTCGCCAGCAAACAATGCGGACAATCCCACACTTAGAACGCACAGCAGAGGCCTCATATGTTCACGGTGCCCCTCGTGGCATCCTTGCATGCTTGCGCTGCTGCATGTACACCTGATCCACGCACATTGGCCATACGGGGGAAACTACACTACCAAGAGGCTATGCAAGTACACGGTGGGTTAGAGAGACCCACGTGGAATTTGGGGAAGGCTGGCTTATTTGTTGATGCATCTAGCTGCCCAATAGAGACGGATGAATCAAATATGAAGAGATAAGGCGGGAGCAGAAAGTGCTGCTGCTCAGGAGGCACCAGATATGGATGGCAAACAAAAAACCAAAGTGCAGGGGTAGCAGAGCCAAGAACAGAGAGTTGTTGCGTAACAGGGATGCCGGGATGATCACTGACCTACCAAGGGAGCGGTGCGTTGAGCTGTTGTGCCCGAGAAAGCCGAATAAATAAAAAACCAGCAACAAACTCCTGGCAACGACTGAAGCAGGAAACGGGACATGGGGGGGAGCAGGGAATGGGACATGGGGAAGCAGGGAAGGGAAGCAGGGATGGGGATGGAGGGAAGCCGTGAAGGGGACATGGGGAAGCAGGGCAGGAGATGGGGGGAAGCAGGGAAGGGGATGGGGGGAAGCAGGGAAGGGGATGGGGGGAAGCAGGGAAGGGGATGACCATGGGAAAGCAGGGAAGGGGACATGGGGAAGCAGGGAAGGGGATGAGGGGAAGCAGGGAAGGGAAGGGGGGGAAGCAGGGAAAGGGAGGGGGGGGAAGCAGGGAAGGGGACATGGGGAAGCAGGGAAGGGGACATGGGGAAGCAGGGAAGGGGACATGGGGAAGCAGGGAAGGGGTGGGGCGACGCAGGGAAGGGGATGGGGGGAGCAGGGTATGGGATGGGGGGAAGCAGGGAAAGGGATGGGGGGAAGCAGAGAAGGGGACATGGGGAAGCAGAGAAGGGGATGGGGAAAAGCAGAGAAGGGGAGGGGGGGAAGCAGGGAAGTGTCAGAGGTCCACTGGAGATCCCCGATGATCCTAGGGAAGGGTTACAGGCACGTCGGCCTGGGGGGTTATGGGCGCACTCACCCGCTACACAAACAAGCCCTTTTATCCCAATGGTTAGTGGTTGGGATTCTGACATGGTATCAGAGCGAAGGTCTCGGGTTCGATTCCCGGTGTGTGCACTTCGGGCATCCCAGTGCGGGGGGGTGTCAGAGGTCCACTGGAGATCCCCGATGATCCTAGGGAAGGGTTACAGGCACGTCGGCCTGGGGGGTTATGGGCGCACTCACCCGCTATATAAACAAGCCCTTTTATCCCAGTGGTTAGTGGCTGGGATTCTGACAGGAAGGGGATGGGGGAAAGCAGGGAAGGGGACAATGGGAAGCAGGGAAGGGGATGGGTGGAAGCAGGGAAGTGGATGGGGAAAAGCAGGGAGGGGGATGGGTGGAAGCAGGGAAGGGGAAGGGGGGAAGCACGGAAGGGGAGGGGGGAAGCAGGGTAGGGGATGGGGGAAAGCAGGGAAGGGGACATGGGGAAGCAGGGAAGGGGATGGGGGGAAGCAGGGAAGGGAGGGGAGGGGGGGAAGCAGGGAGGGAGATGGGGGGAAGCAAGTAAGGGGAAGGGGGGATGCACGGAAGGGGGGGGGGAAAGCAGGGAAGGGGACATGGGGAAGCAGGTAACGAGGCATGGGAAACCAGGGAAGGGGATGGGGGAAAGCAGGGAAGGGGAGGGGGGGTCCCAGAAAAGAGGATGGGGGGAAGCAGGGAAGGGGATGGGGGGAAGCAGGGAAGGGGACATGGGGAAGCAGGGAAGGGGATGGGGGGAAGCAGGGAAGGGGATGGGGGGAAGCAGAGAACTGGACATGGGAAAGCAGGAAAGGGGACAAGGGGAAGCAGGGAAGGGGATTGGGGAAAGCAGGGAAGGGGAAGGGGGGTTAGTAGGGAAGGGTTTGGCTCTAAGCAGGGAAGGGGACAGGGGGAAGCAGCAGTGAAGGGGATGGGGGAAAGCAGGGAAGGGGATGGGGGGAAGCAAAGAACGGGACATGGGAAAGCAGGGAAGGGGACAAGGGGAAGCATGGAAGGGGACTGGGGGAAAGCAGGGGAGGGGAGGGGGGGAAGCAGGGAAGGGAATGGGGGGAAGCAGGTAAGGGGAAGGGGGGAAGCACGGTAGAGGAGGGGGGAAGCATGGAAGGGGACATGGGGAAGCAGGGAAGGGGATGGGTGGAAGCAGGGAAGGGGATGGGGAAAAGCAGGGAGGGGGATGTGAACAGGTTATGATGTGCCATGCAAATGACTCAGCCAATGATTCAGCACCTCGCACTGCTAAGCGTGGGGCACTAGAGAGGGATGGTTCGTTGAGAACTGACCTGCCTAGGCAGCAGCTCTTCGTGCTGTTGTTCTCGCCGCCGCCTAGATGGATGGATGACAAACCAACACAGTAGTGCAACTGCTGGAGCAACACGTCCTTCGGATACCTGGAAAATGAGATAAGGAATGAAAGAAAAGTAAGATTCAACGGCAGCGAGACATTCTTCGGATAGCTGGAAAATGGGAAAGCAATGAGTTCCAAGTAAAATGCAAAGGGCGTGACCCCCTTGTGCTGCTGTGCCTACCAGGATGCTTACGCATGCTTAGAAGCAGCGTAGTAAACAGGTGATCTGACATTTGCAGCACACCCTCTCACACGCTGAGAGCAACAGCAGTGACGCGAAAGAAGATCCAATTGTCGCTGTGACACATGTTTCTGTGGCGGCAGAGAGACATCACATGCGGAGCGCTTGGGAGTTCCAGCTACACGCGAACACATGTTTTATCCCGGTTTCGCTTCCTCGACTCTTGGCGTCCCACATTCACAGCAAGGACTGCTCCGGCCCTGCCATGCGAGTTATGTCGCATTCGCCAAACCACTGCGACGCGTGGAAGCTCACGTGTGAGTGTACTCTGAAACCACAGCTGTTGTGAATTCGTGGCTGTGGCTCCCATCTGCTTTTAGTTCTGCTAACTCTCGTCCCGGTAACGCGTGGCAGCCACGCTTCCCTTTACGGACATCCCTCCCTTCGCTTACCGATTATCCTTGCGGTTCGCAGACGTTGTCTGTCGCTGACCTCCTTCGACGCGCGTTTTGCCGTTGTTCTCCCTTCCACGCTCCGTCTCTAGCTCACATCCGCAACTTCCCTTGTCCGTCCCCCCAAAGGCGAGGACACTAGGCCGAATCGTTGGCACTGACCGATTGATGGCACAGTGTTTGTCTAGATGAGGTGCGGGCGCAAAGGGCAAGGCTCGTATGAACGTGTATGACTCTAAACCATCTGTCCGCAAAGCAAGTCCTGTTTTCTGTCCATCTATCTCGTGCTCGCTCTCGCCAATGCGTTCCGTTTGAAAACACGGCTGGGAACACGGCTGTTGCGTTCTCCTGCGACGCGGTATAAACAGCTGGCGCGTTGCGCATTATTGCTGTATCCTCCTGTCTTGTCTGTGTCTCACGGTAGGTAGTCGTGCATCCAGCTGGTGACATTCATCGATGCTCACTCAAGATCGTCTATGTGACAGAGTTTGTGGTTGGTGTTGCGCGTTCATTCTACCAACCACAGTCCATACTTTGTTCACCCCATCACCGAGTTGTATCCCCCCGTTT